CGGAAATGGGCTGGGTTTTCCCTGGGGAGCTGGTGTCTGGGCTCCAGCATCCTTGGCCTTTTTAACTTGGGTACCGTATCTTTTTTTGACTAGTCTTGATTTTAGGTCTTTGGGATCTCTAACCCACAAAGCAAAGGCCCTTTCCCCCTCCGCTCAGTACATTATGACTATGTGAGATACTGATTTCATGTATATGTATATATGAAAATATCTCAAAGATTAGTCACAATTAGCTGTTTCTGTTTTTTTTTTTTTTTGAGACAGGGTTTCTTCTTTTATTAATTAAATTAAATCACACCGGCAGTTTGCCCTCCTTTCTCCCCCTCCGCCATACACTCCTCTGCTTCTGTTCAGAAAGGGACAGGCCTCCCATGAAGCTGAGGTAGAATTGAGCTCTTCCTATTGTATTAAGGATGGGCAAGGCAACCTGGTGTGAGGAATAGGTTCCCCAGAGCCAGCCAAAGCATTAGGAACAGCTCCTGCTCTCACAGCTAGGAGTCGCACAAACAGACCAAACTATACAACGGTCACACATATCTAGAGAGCATAGGTGGGTCCCATGAAGGCTCCCTGGCTGTTGGTCCAGACTCTGTGAGCCCCTTGGCTACCCCTCTCCCAGGTTTCTTTGTGTAGCCCTGGCTATCCTGGAACACATTTTGTAGACCAGGCTAGCCTTGAACTCACAGAGATTCACCTGCTTCTGCCTCTCTAGTGCTGGGTTTATATGCCAGAATCTGGCCACAATTCTGTATTTCACAACAGGAGGGAGTGCTATTAAAATAGCTTAAGCCCCATTTTAGTGATCAAAAATTAGGCATAAATTTCCACACAGCAAGTGACAGGGATGGAAGCTCAAGTTAGAGATGTTTAATTCTGGAGTTTGTGGACTTACCAACTACGAATTTTCATTAGTATCTTTCTAATCTTGAAATTGTTAAAGCCTTCCGTGGCCCTGTACCTGGAAAGTACCCTTCAGAAAAACTGCCTCCACTCTCAGAAGCGGAGATGATGTGGAGAGTATGCCATCCAGTCTTTGAATAAGTACTGTAAAGGGGTCCAGACTCTAGAATACAGGATGGCAGATTTGAAGAGTTGAATGCCAGACCATTAGATGGTAGTCTTCATAGACTGAGCATAACGATATAATGCTTATGCAAGGCCGTTCAAGGACCTTTGGTGCAAATCAATCTAAATGGAGGCATGCAGACTAGGTTAAAAGCTTGAGTGCAGATGAGGGAAGGGCAGAAACAGATGTCTTGCTAAGCAGAGGAGAAAAAGATAGCTTTGTCTGAAGAGTAATAACTAGTAATTCCCACAGAGCCAGTTCTTCTTAATTTCTGGCTTTTGTAGTTTCTTAATGCATTTTGCAGATAAGAGTTACTGATACTGTGAGAGATTATTGTGTTGAAAATTTTCATGTGATATTACCTTGCTAGAAGAGCACTCCCTTTAAAATATTTGTAAATGTTGGCTATATATGTAATTTATAGTCTCCCCAAGATATAAAGAGTAGTTCATTCTTCTCTTAAAAATGACAGAGATGGTGGTGAGTGGAGAGAGCCAGCAAGATGTATCATTTAAAGTATGTGAAGGCCAGCCGAGGGGAGGTAAACATGGATTCCTTACATACTTAACATCATTCCCAAATGTTTTTGAGGCCGTAAAACAGATTTCTGTTCATCCTTTCCATTCTCAAAATCTGATGAACTGAGTTCAGGATTTTAAAAATGGCATTATTGAGGTGTAATTGACATGTGGAACATATCTAATGTGCATAATTTGGCAAGTTTTGACATATGTATACCTGTGTGAAGCCACAAATGAGCATGTGAGGAGACCCTCAGATCTCCCTGTGCTCCTTTATAGTTTCTTCTCTCCTGCCCTATACATAAGCAACCATTCTGTTTTTGTTTGTGTGCACTCATCTCCATCTTCTTAAGTGTTACATAAATACAGTCATGGTAGGTACTCTTTTTGTTTGATTTCTTTCATTCAGTGTAATTGTTTGGATATTCATCTATGGCCTCCACAGTAGTTCCTATTTTATTGCTAAGTGTATCTCGTTGTATGGATGAAGAGCAGTTTCTTTTCTAATCACCAGTTAATGGACAGTTAGAGTAGGTCTAGTTTCAACCTACCTTCAAGAGAACTACTATGAATATTTTTGTGCAAGAAAATATGTATGAACACACATTTCCTTTGCTATTGTGTGCATATCTAAAGTGCATGGGCTGGATTATATGGTAGATGCATGTTTAACTTTTTAAGAAATTGCTACATTATCTTCTAAAGTTGATGTGTATTTTACATTCCCACCATGAAGATTCTGCTTGCTGTACATGCTCACCAGTATTTGGTACTTTTAGACTTTTTCCAAGGGTGGCTGTGACAATTATATGACTTGTGACATGTTACAGGTAGGTCAGAATCTAAGGGATAGTAGTGACACAGGAGCTAGCTCTCAGTAGTCAATAAATCAAGGGAAAAGGACCTTTGGTTAAAACTCCAAGCAACTCACAAATGTTATGGTAAGGATGGACGTTAGGGTCAAAGGGAGATTAAAGGTTAAGATAATAAAATCTGGAGCACTGAAGCAGATGAATAAGAGGACTTGTAGTGGGGTATGAGAAAACTAAGATAGACAAGAGGAGAGAGACAGGGCTCGAGGCTAGTGTCAGCAGGCTGCCTACCCATCTGTTTCCTTACCACCTCCCAAAGCCAGGGAAGAACCGATAGAAGATGCTATTGATTGTCCTCTTGTCCGCTCTTGCTTCTGGTGTACTAATTGTAGCAGGCTACGTTGTAAATAAGAATAGCTTCTAACAGGCAGCTTCCACCTAGGAGGTCACCACAGAGCACTTCACAGACAAGGAGCTAAAGATGAGAAAACTCAAACTGCAGTGACATCTTGGTGGTTGTGATAGGGTTAACTCTGTGCCATGTGAGCTGGTCAGGTGAATACAAAAACAAGGGGAACATGGTCTAATTAACAGAGAGACACTAACAAGGTTGACAGTGGCAACACCAGCCACTTTTAGCTAGCAGACAATCAAGAACAGCAGCTAAGAAAGCACAAGTCAGAAGTTGGCTGAGGGGGCTTTAGCCTCCCCTAGCTGGTTAGGCAGCATGTAAACAGCACATGACTACCTTCCTGTTGGTCCAGGAGAACACATATAGAGCATGTGGGTCTTCTAACCCATGATAGCTCAGAGAACTAACCAGTTTCATACTAATTACTTTAGCCTTTGTCTAGTCTCTACCTTACTCATTATAAGAACCATAGAAAAGGAAGTTTGGTGGCATTTCTGGTGTTGAAAACCATCCTACTCTGTTGGGACCCAGCCCCCACTGGGTCTCTGTGAGTTGTTTTCCAGCATAATCTCAGGTACCTCCTGTTTTTCTAAGCTTCGCCCACTAACATCCTGTTATGAACCTTTCTTATTATTAAAAAGTTATGCCTTGCCCCCATCCCCTTCTTCCTTTGTTGGCCGTGGGCGGGGGTTGTGGTTTCCTTGTTTATGATGGAGCATGGGAGTTCTTTCTGCTAGCAGGTGATATTTTCCCATCTCCTCTTGTATATAAGCTGCTGGCTGCAATAAACCGATGGCATTCACTTCTACCAAATGACCCGAGTTTTGTCCTTCTTAATCCGCAGACTCTCGCCTGGTCCGGTTCTTTGGTCTCTGGTGCTAGCACCGGTGACAATTGGAGGTCCCACCGAGATCCTGGAAAGCAGAGGCATCCTGATGGACTGCTCTTAACAATTGTGGCCACAAGACAAGAAGGAGCACATTTGGGTTGACAGTGCCGAATCAAAAGTAAGTAACTCTACTGTAGGTAAGTGACTGTCAAAATGGGGATTTCAAGTTCGTCGTTACTTTTACAGGACCAACTCACTCAGTTATTGAAACAGCAAGGCACAGACATTAAAACAAAGACAGTTTGCAGTTTTTTCGGGGTCTTAGAAAGGACTAGTCCCTGGTTTTTGACTATTGGGGGACTAAAATTGGGAACTAGTAAAGAGTGATTTACAAAATACTCTTCAGAAGGAAGGACCAGATGGAGTGCCTACGTCAGTCTTTTCCTTATGGAGAGTAGTCAAGGATGCCCTCTTGAGTAAGAACATCGAGATTAAGGAACAAATATCAGAGATAGAGATAAACCTTTGCAACCACACAAGGTGACATTTCTCGTCAATCTCTTGCTAGAGGATCTGAGTCCAGTGATAAAGAGGATGAGGATAAGGATCATTTTAAGGAAGAAAATGAATCGGAAGAGGAAATTAAAGATTTACAAAAGCAATTAAGGGAGATGGGAATTAAGGAAAAACATAAGAGCATAAAGAATAAACCTTGCCGCCTGCCTGCATCTGCTCCCCCTGCTTATGAGGATTATACTACTTGTGTTCTTGATCATAATGCTTCATCTCCCAGAGGGGTAGTTTTTGGGAAGTCATTGGGTTTCCC